AATAAATAAATAAATAATAAATAAATAAATAAATAAATAAATAAATAAATAAATAAATAAATAAATAAATAAATAAATAAATAAATAAATAAATAAATAAATAAATAAATAAATAAATAAATAAATAAATAAATAAATAAATAAATAAATAAATAAATAAATAAATAAATAAATAAATAAATAAATAAATAAATAAATAAATAAATAAATAAATAAATAAATAAATAAATAAAAATAATGTACAACACGTAATTTATTTCATATATATACAATCAAGGCACCTGGTGACAGTGATGGTAATGGAAATTATATTTTTTTTTAAAAAGTTAAATAATAATATCAAATCCAAATAAAAACAATACTTCACAACAATTATGGCCATTATTACTGTCATTTATATACTCAAATAACAACCTCTAAAATTTGGACTAACATATTCACATACGAAAATCCGGCTTTGTAATTTGCACTAGCAAACAATTTTGAAATAGTTATAGCCTTGTACGACCAATGCCTTAAGTACTATAAAGGAAGAATTTACAAAAATTCACAATCACTTTTGGTTTGTACTTTTAAACTGCACAAAAGACGATTGCTCCTATATATTTTATTTGTTGATTTTATAAGTGAATATTGTTAACTTACACATTTTCAAAAACGCGTAATTTTTGGTATAATATTTGTTAACTTTACAGATTGCGCTTGTGTGGGGTGTGTTTCTCAGTGCCAGTGAATAATACTCCAATCTAACATCCCTGACTTTTCAGGTACTTGTCAAAATGGTTGACTCAGTTGGAGCATTATCCCCATTCTCAGAAACATAGTATGTGTTGTGTACATGCCTTACAATCGGGTAAACCAAAACAAAAATCTCGTTAGCTGGCTATTTTCTGTAATCACTTCTTTACGGAATGTTAAGTTAGTAGAGTACTGTGACTATTCAGGGCAAAAACCATGTATAAAACAAATATACACGTTTACAGTGTAAACAACAGGCTCATTACATGAGACAAGTGCATTTTTTTCTACACAAACAACTTATTCCTGAAAAAAGCTAAACCATTTTACGTGTTCCGTTCTAAAAGTGAATTAAAAAATTATTGGTCACTTAGATTTTGTAAAATCTGGATCTGCCCAATTCCGTAATGTTCTGATGTATACACCCTGGAATCCGCAAATTACTATGAATCTTTGTAGTCGGCACATGATTCAGTGTCATCACTGATTGGCTGTCACCATGATTCAGTGTCATCACTGATTGGCTGTCACCATGATTCAGTGTCATCACTGATTGGCTGTCAGCATGATTCAGTGTCATCACTGATTGGCTGTCACCATGATTCAGTGTCATCACTGATTGGCTGTCACCATGATTCAGTGTCATCACTGATTGGCTGTCAGCATGAGTTACAATGGGAACACGCATGCACTGTTCCGCATGTTTAAACACTTCAGACCAATTCACTAGTCTATTACTCGTAGATTTTTGCAACATCTTACGAACATAGAGATCTAGTCTAGGCAAGATTTTTAATGATTTTAATATCATTATAATTCCATCACTGTGACTCGGCGGTGATTTTAATTGTACACTTAAAGCCACACGTGAACGATATAGTCGCATTTAGCCAGACATATTTAGTATTCTTAGTATTAGAATTGTCTTAATCAAACGCTACATGTATATAACGGAAGCATTAAGCCTTGTGTCTGGAATGCAAGCGATAGAGCGCCATCAACGGTGCTGATGTGCGTAGTGTGATGTCACTCGTCGTTGCGCAAGGTGTGGCGTCACTTCTCTTCAGGGCAGACACCACAGAAATGTAAGTGGTTTTTCGTAGTGTGGTAAATTGTTGAAATAATATTCATTTTTTGTTGATCTCCGCTTCACCTGGTATATTTCTTAACCCCAATACATCCAGAATTTGGATGACGGTTATTGTGTGTGGTATATCATTTGAATTTTATTCCTAGAAGCGATTTGAATTTGTAGTCTGACGCGGGTTCATTTGTTTAATTCGACCGCCATTCTATTACGTGTAAAGTGAAGGATGTGCACGGCAAAAAAAACCAACGGTTCTTATTTTAGGACACTCTTTTGTAAAGCGACTCAAACCATGCATGAGCACCGCCATCAATATAATGTGTCACCAACTTTCAATTTCAGTCAAACGGATATTTATTTACATGGTATTGGCGAACGAACGGTATCGTCATTGGTAACATTTTACCTTGGTGTGGTGATCCGGGTTTTGCCGGATATTCACTTGAACAAATTCGGTAATAATATATATTATTGAAGTGTTCATGGGGCACTCTTGTAGGCATGGACGTTTTCAAAGTCGGCAAATGTTTAACTTGTGGGTAGATAGTTACTAAATGCAGACTGTTACATGAATTCAGAGTTTCTGCTTTTATTTTAAATTTCGAAAACTGTTGATCCTATCTCAATTATATGAGTGCGAAGTTTCTGCTTTATTTTAATCTCTGTGTAATGTTGATTTTATCTCTGTTACATAAGGGTGGAATTTCTGCTTTTATTTTTATTTTGCAGACTGTTGATCCTATCTCCATTACATGAGTGTGGAGTTTCTGATTTTATTTTAAATTTTGCAGACTTTTACATTTTTTTTAAAATACACGGATACGTTTGATTAGTATATATGCGTCAAATGATCCTCTTTTGTTTGATACCAAACACTGAGAGGTAGATTTAGGCGTAATACACCAATTTTGCAATAGTAACAGGTCATTTACTCCTCAAAATCAACCGTTTACTACAATGTGTCATATTTTTTACTTTTTTTTTTACTCCAACACTTATCTCATCCTATTTAAAGTTATGTACATTGTATGCAATATTGATGTTCACGGTACAATTCCCTGAATTCCATGGAAGCAATCCATTTAGACTTTGTAAAACATACATAATATCGACAATCCAGTGTTTGAAATGATATGTGTTGTGTAATGTGGTAACGTTGAGAGGTGTATAACCATTCAGATCCATGGTTACACCGCTAC